GTAGTAGTAGTCTTAGTAGTAGCAGTCGTCGTCGTCCTCGTCTTCGTAGTGGTAGTGCTGGTGGTAGTAGTTGTTGTTGTTGTCGTCGCCATCGGTCCAGGCGGAGTAGCAGTAGGAGCAGGAGTAGGAGCAGGAGGAATATTAGTCGTAGTGGTAGGAGTAGTAGGAGTAGTAGTGGTGGTGGTAGTGGTGGTGGTGGTGGTTGTGGTGGTGGTTGTGGTGGTGGGGGGTGTTGATGGTGGTAGTCGCAGTTACCAGCAACGGTAGTCTTCGCCACTAGGCTCCAACACCAAGCAGTACCCCAAGTTTAAGTTTCCTTGTTGGTTCGCGGTTCGCAAGTGCAGGTTGGTAGTTCAGCAGCTTTCCGAAAGAATGTTCATATCAAAAAGGTTCATTGGAAGAAACTTCCATGGACTGTAGTAGGGAGCCTTTACAAGGAAGTTAAGGAACATTCCCTGCAATACAATAGGGTTCCTTAAAGCGTTTCGCTCAAGCAAGGTGCATATGGGAGCTTATGGAACCGATTAGCTTAGTTCCCCAACACCCAACCTTTAAATTTTTTGGGCTCTTATAGTTAAGTAGTAGTCTGAAAGTTGAACCTTTCATTTCCCTGCCTTATTCGGGAAGTAAGTTTGTGGATCCTTACACATCAGGCTTTGGGGTTCGTTGACTATGGAAGTGTAGGGTTGTAGGGTCCAGGGTATACTTGGAGGGTCGGGGGACATAGTAACTAGTTCTTTTATAGATTTACAAGTACTATAAGTCCAATTAGGATCCCTTTTGGGGTACTTATAACTCTAGTTATTGACTATTTACTAAGTCCCCCACCCTAAACCCTAAACCCCCGGACCCTCCAAGTAGGGTCGAGGGTTGTGGGGGATTGGGGGCTCTTTGGGTTTAGGGTTCGACGACCACCTCCCTCAGGTCAGCCTGCTGCCACCTGGGGCTTAGGGTTTAAGGTTTAGGGTTTTGGGTTTAGGGTTTATGGTTTTCAGGGTTTAGGGGTTCTGGGTTTAGGGTTCAGGGTTTAGGGGGCTTCATCTTGATTTGGACTTGCTTAAAACAGCTGCTAACTTGGATCTCTAAAAGTTGGGAAGCACACAGCAATTTGATTTTGTGGGTCCCCTTCAGCAGCGTTGGTCTAGGGTGTAGGAATTAAGGTTGAAGGTTTAGGTGCATCAAAGGTGCTGTGAAAGTGCGGTTTAGTTTGCCTCGTAGTGTCCTTTTGCCCTTTGTTCTTTTTGGGCTACTTTACTAGAACCGACTGGCAGGAGAAAGGGTACCCTTTTCCTAAAGGGCTTATACCGAGGAGCCTAGTGAAGCCTTCAACTATCTCATCATTCGGACCCCGCTATGTTAAACCATAGCCCCGGCACCCCAACTCCTGAAAAGAGCCCTCTTAGCAACCTTTTAGAGAACTCTGGGTTTAGGGTTTGGGGTTTAGGGGTTTAGGGTTTAGGGTTACAGCGAACCCGAGAAAGTTGGACCGTGCTAGGATCCTTTATAGTTTACCCTAAAGGCATGAGGACGTTAATGTTCCAACTTTCTGGCTTTTGCTGTAGAGAACTCTGAAACGTGAGCCTTCGAGCCAGGTACTGGTGGTGCGAGCAGTATCACCTCGAATCGAATCTCTTTCTGCTTGGGCATGCAAGGCAGGGTGTAGGGTGGAGGGTTTGAGGTTCTTTTAAAGGCTGCTGATGTAGGGGCCTAAAGGATTACCTATACTGTTGTGGGGGGGCTCCTTCTTCTTAAGTATAGTAGAATATACCCCAAAACCCTATTCTAATGATTAAGGCCCCAATATCACTCGGGCTCCATCAGGGTTCTATGATGAGGTGTTTTACGGGTTCAGGTTTTGCGGTTTTAGGGTTTGTGGCTCAGGGCTTAGGGCACGATCCGGGTCCAGGCGGGCATGGAGAGGCAATCAAGGTCCACAGCTGGAAGGCTCAGGACTTAGAGCCTTAGGATATAGGCTTCGGAAATTTAGTTTAGGGTGTACGTAGGCTTTAGGGTTTTAGTTTAGGGTGTAGGCTTTAGGGTTTTAGTTTAGGGTGTAGGCTTTAGGGTTTTAGTTTAGGGTGTAGGCTTCAGGGTTTTAGTTTAGGGTGTAGGCTTCAGGAGTTTAGTTTAGGGTGTAGGCTTCAGGAGTTTAGTTTAGGGTGTAGGCTTCAGGAGTTTAGTTTAGGGTGTAGGCTTTAGGATTTTAGTTTAGAATGTAGGCTTGAGGGTTTTAGCTTAGGATATAGGCTTCAGGGAATTAGTTTAGGGTGTAGGCTTTAGGGTTTTAGTTTAGGGTGTAGGCTTCAGGGTTTTAGTTTAGGGTGTAGGGTTTAGGGTTTTAGTTTAGGGTGTAGGCTTTGGGGGTTTTAGTTTAGGGCGTAGGCTTCAGGATTTTAGTTCAGGGTGTAGGCTTCAAGATTTTAGATTAGGGTGTAGGCTTTAGGGTTTTAGTTTAGGGTGTAGGCTTCAGGATTCTAGTTTAGGGTGTAGGCTTGAGGGTTTTAGTTTAGGGTGTAGGCTTTAGGGTTTTAGTTTAGGGTGGAGGCTTTAAAGTTTTAGTTTAGAGTGGAGGCTTTAGTTTAGGTCGTTTGGGTTTGGGCTTGTTAGCTTCAGGATGGAGGTGTGTTGGGGTTTAGGATTTAGGGCTCGAGGTATAGATCTTGAGAGCGTTGGGCTTGAGGCTTTCGAGTTTCGACATGAGATCTCAGGATTAAACCTAATTATTGGGTTTAGGGTTGAGGGTTTAGGGTTTAGGATGGGATTGTTCTAAATATGAGCTTGCTTTCGGAAGCCGTGTGCAACAAGCAGTTACCCACACAGAGACCCTTTCGAACCACGCACTCGCAATGCTCAGAGCTGAAAATATCTTCATTCGTGCTCTTACATCTAACGTACCTAAACCCTAAAACGTAGACCCTAAACCCTAAACCGTAGACCCTAAAACCCTTAATGTAGAAACCTGATTAAGAAACCCGGTCCTATAACCCTAAAGAACCTTAATAAAGACCCAGGTTTCTTACCCAGACCCCCAAAAGGATCTAAAAAATAGATCCCCTAATGAGGGACCCTAACTACGAAAGGGTACTTTATAAAAACCTTCTTAGGGGATCTATTTTTTAGATGCTGTTGAGGGTCTGGGTAATCAGATTCCTACATTGGACCCTAACAACCCAAGACTCCTGCGTGGTGTTCAGGCCCCAGCTACACAATCGACGCACAGGGCGCATCGTCTCTGTCGGCTCTGAACAACGGGGACATGAGTCTGAGGCAGGGGGGGCTAAAGGGTTTTGGTTTTGGGTTTAAAGTTTAGGGCTTAGGGTTTAGGGTTTAGGGCTTAAAGTTTAGGGTTAAGGGTTTAGGGTACGGCTCATTGCACCGCGGGATACCAGAGAGAGGGTTTAAGGTTTTAGGTTTTAGGTCCCGGAGAGCGAATAGTGAATAGAGCTTAAAACTTCATTCAACTATGCTGCGGAGCGTTCTCGGAATCTTGTTGTCAATGTCTACGAAGATGTAAGCTCTAAGGGTTTATTAACCGGGGTAGTTTGTATGTTGAACGCAAAAATACAGGCCACAAGCCCCACTTACCCCCACTTACCTTCGGGAAATTCCCCAAAGCTTTTGTCCCCTTTCTCCCAGAAGCCCAAAGCACCGCACCCAAAGCCCGAAATCCTGAATCCACGGCTTTTACTTGGAGGGTCGGGGGACTTAGTAACTAGTTATTTTATAAACTTTTACGTACCATAACCCGAATTAGGATCCCCTTGCAGGGTACTTAAAACTCTACCTAATATCTACTTACTAAGTCCCTTGACCCTCCAAGTAACACCCTTAAACCCTAAGCCCTGAGACTATACCTGCCGGCGGAAGCCGAACCATAAACCGAGCACCAGGCACTCGCAAACTCCACTACCAGCTAATTTTGGGGTTTAGGGTTATGAAAAGGGACTATGGTCCAGGGTCGAAGGTTTAAGGTGTTAGGGTTTAGGGTTTTGGGGTTTTTTAGGGTTTAGGGGTTTAGGGTGTTGGGGGTTTAGGGTTTAGGGGTTTAGGGTGTTAGGGTGTAGGGTTTAAGAGAATTTATATGCTAAGTGCCCCTACGTGCGAGCCATGCAGTACAGCCAAGGTTCATGACACAGGGGCAAGGGGATAGGCTCCAGTCATGGCCGTCCTCCTGACATCCGGATCTTAATATGGGGACCGCCCTGAATAGGGTTTGGGAGCGCAGTTGTGTTGTTCTTATACAGAGAGGAGTATACGGGGATGTGTGACTAAGCGTTCAGACCTTTGAATCTCAACCAAAACATGCATGCTGACAGCCGCAACAGCATTAGCTTCGAAGCGCATGCTTTGTGATAAGGCTTGTAAGAGGCTCCACTGGAGGGCGGTGCAAACCACAGCGTCCAAATTCGTAGGGACCTGTATCTAAGAGAACTGAAGTCTTTGTTGTTAACAAACCTCTTTAAGCCCCTCATAAAATCCCACGGAATCCTCCAACACATCTCCCTGTCAAAGAAATTACATGTAGGAAAGTGGGTACCATGATTTGCGAAGACATAAGGAAGAGCCAACCCTGAATTACCGCAGGGTTGGGAAGAATGACGAATCCTATGTCCTCCCTGTAGATGTCTTTTAATCATACCCCCAAAGCCTTTCGCAACATTAAGGCCCTCAAAAATGGCAGCGTTTTGGAAATACCCTCAACCCTAAATCCTAAACCCTAAACCCCTAAACCCTAAACCCCTAAACCCTAAACCCCAAAACCCTAAACCCTAAACCCCTAAACCCTAAACCCTAAACCAGCGTTTTGAAACCCCAAGTGCTGTGAGGCTGCAGACCGAACACTACAAGCCCAACACCGCGGCCCTGATTGGCGGGGCGCACTTCAGCTTTACACTGCCACGTCTCTTTTTGTGCGGGTTTGGTGGGGGTTTAGGGTGTAGGGGTTTAGTTTAGGGTTTAGGGTTTCGGTTTAGGGTTTAGGGTTAAACACTACACCCTAAACCCTCCTGAGCCTGTCGCTGCTGCTGCGCCTTATACTGCTTCTTCGCCTGAGAGCATGCCCGTCCCTGCTGAAACAGGTGTACGGTCCTCTGAGTCGTTCTCGCATGTGATTCTCCCGAAGCTGCTGGTAGTGCCGCCTCTGTAGAATAGGGGTCTTGATAATTAGAATAGGGTTTTGGGGGTACCGTAAAGTATAGCATAATCGTATAACTAACATAAGGAGCTTTAAGGGATACCATGGGTACTTATTGAGGCTTTCATAGTAGGGTCTTCTGTTGGTGAGCTCTCCGGCAGCTCCCATCCTCAAGATATCGATATTACATAGTACTGTATTACTACGTTACCATATTACCCTATTAAACCATATTACTATATCACTACATTTCTTTTATGCTATGTTACTCTGTTACCTTGTTACTATATCACTATATTTCTTTAATACTGTATTATCGAAGTTCGCCCGGACGTGTGAAGCCATCTTTGACTGGATGAAAATCATCTGTCTTTTCTTGAGCGTGAGCTCTCTTGCCAGAGTGGGGCTAGACCTGCCGCTGCAGTGGAGAAAGCCCCACACACACTTTATAGGAAAAACCTAAACCCTAAACCCCTAAACCCCTAAACCCTAAACCCTCAACCCTAAACCCTCAACCCTAAACCCTAACCTGATAGGGTTGTATAAGGATCATATGTCCAGACGGGCACCCGAAGAGGGAGCCCGAACACAGCGGAAGCGAATCTTGGAGCCTTAAACCCGAAACCCCAAGCCCCAAGCCGCACTTAAGGGCTCAGGGACGTATCAAGTAGGTTTCAGGTTTAGGGTTTCGGAACTTAGCAAGGTGAGAAATGGATTGTAAGTCATACGAACAATAATCTTACTTTCGAAGGTACTTCTTAAGTCCCTTAACCCTGCAAGCAGACCGAGTCAGGTATCTGATGATCACAGGCACCACCTGGATTATGATGAGCGCCAAAGGTGTCCTCTCTGCACAAGGCCGTTGTGTCTCGACTGAACTGGATGGTCACACCTTCCATTGATTGGGAGCCAGTCCTTCGAGAGGTTGCACAGTACAGAGTACTTCAGTATTTACTTCCTCAAAGGGAGAACTTTAAACTTTTGGCCTCATTTATTTTGTCATTTATTTCGTCTATCTTGGAAAAGTTTGACCTTTGGGCCTGGTGCTTGAAGAAGAGCGAGTATGAAGCTTGGGGCTATGGCGCATGAGGTGTCTGCCTTGGTGCTGCACCTTTCCCTGTGCACTGTACGGCAAATCAGCGAGAGCTTGGATCAGGAAAACCATCGAGGACATTTTCAGGTGTGTAGTTACAGTTATAGGAGCCTTATAGAAGGTCTATGTACCTTATAGAAGCCTTATAGAAGCCCTATATTCCCTAAACTCTCCGCCTGTAGTTTCCTAAACCCGAAACCCTAAACCCAAACCCTAGACCCTAAACCCTAAACCCAAACCCTTAAAGGGTACCCTAAACTCCCCACTTGTAGTTTCCTTTAGATCCGACACAGTGCCACAGAATTGATGTCCAGACGCGGTTTAGGGTTTAGGGTCTAGGGTTTAGGATTTTAGGGTTTAGGGTTTAGGCTTTCGGGTTTAGGGTTTAGGGTTTAGAGTCTCAGAACAGGCGGAATCTACTGAAGACCTAAGAAGTATCCCTATGTTACATCTCATTCGTTTCGAAACCCGGACGTTCTGCCCTAAACCCTAAACCCTTTTCTGGGGGTTGCAGTTTTTTTTGTTTTCTGAAGGGCCGTTGGGTTGAAGCTTCTGTGCTCCAATGGGGTGTTGGGGTGTATCATAGTATCATGAAAATACGGAACCTTGTGGGTATTGTCAGTGTTTAGGGTTTAGGGTTTCTACCAGGACACTTTCGGGTTTGAATTTTGAATCTGCTTCGTTTGAGGGATGCCTCTTTTGGTCATGTCCCTTACAACCAACGAGTCTGCATCAGGTTATCATCACGCGACGCCCTCAAAGCGCCAGCGCCCCAAACCCAAAACCCTAAACCCTAAGCCCCTACCCTACCTTTATCATGGTTTCTGTACAGAGCTCCTTCAAAGGGCAGATTTTTTTTTGGGGGGGACAGCAGGTAACCTTAACCCAAACCCCTCAAAGTTCTACTCCCTGAACCCTAAACCCTAAACCCCTAAACCCCCTCAACCTAAGGTTTCTGCTTCGATCAATCTGCAGAAGGGATGGCGAAGGGCGAAGGCATCGCGAACCTGGTCTTGGAACGTGAAGAGGCCAGGGCTGGTAATAGTAGAAGTAGAGGCAGTAGTAGTAGTAGTAGTAGTAGTAGTAGTAGTAGTAGTAGTAGCGGCAGCAGCAGCAGCACCAGGAGCAGCAGTAGTAGGAGTAGTAGTAGTAGTAGTAGTAGTAGCAGCAGCAGTTGTAGCAGCAGCAGCAGGAGTAGTACTAGTAGCAGTAGTAGTAGTAGTAGTAGTAGTAGTAGCAGCAGTAGTAGTAGTAGTAGTAGTAGTTGTAGTTGTAGTTGTTGTTGTTGTTGTTGTTAACGTTGTAGCATTGCAGCAGCAGCAGCAGCAGCAGCAGTAGCATATCAGAAGCAGAATGTTCAGAGCAATAGTGGCAAGCAAAAGCGATGTCTCAGCCACAACAGGATGCGGGCAAAGATGGCGGCAGCAAGCCCTCGAATGGTACCATCGCATCCACCTTCGCGACTTGCTGAAGCTGGGTAGTCCAGATCCCGCCTACCATACACCCCGTACACCAGCCAGAAAGGTAAGACCCTAGGCAGAGGCCTGAATGATTAGCAACGGCAGCCCCTCATGACTACCAAAACCTACCTATGTTTGCCTATGTGTATGTGTGCGTATATATACATACGTGTGTGTTCTGACAAAATATCATATAACATAATGTGACATGATATACTACACTATAACACATGCTGCATAATCAGTTCTATATATACAATTTAATAGTATGTGTTTAAATAATGAACAACATGTAATAGCAAGTATATAGAATATAATACAGAGTGTATAACATATAATATATGATATACAATATGTAATAGCTAATATATTGTCTACTAAATATAACGCATTATACAAATTATAGTATGTAGTATAATATGTATAATAGCATGCATTACATACTTATATATATATATATATGTATGCTATATATATATATATACATATATGATGTGCTATATATTATACATTATCTGCCATATGAAATACATTATATATATCATATGTAATATATATATATATGTATTTCATAAGAAACATGTGGTATATAGTTTTAAAACGTAGTATGTAGCATACAGTATATAGTATTTGTCACTTAACACATAAAACATAATACATAGCATTCCGAATCCAACTTTTATACATGTATGTCAATACACAAAACAGTATGAAAATATAGAGGTAAGTACTTTCATGCACCCCGTGACCTTGCAGCCCAAATTATGTGGCTCTTCCGCTGTGGTTTGTCGCAACGGGCTCGTTTTTGCAATTTTGTCTTAGGATCCCGACTCAAAAAGCAATAGCACAGCCGCCTTTATAATTAGAAAAGGACTTGGTGGTATATTATACTATAACTATAATGGATTATTGGGTTTCGGTTATGCTTCCTTGTAGGGGAAGAGCTTTCCAAGAATCCGGCTTGGAGTTTAGTGTTTTGGGTTCAAGGCTTCTTGGACATTTTCAGGTGGGTACTTACCGTTATAGGAGCCTTATAGAAGGTCTATATACCTTATGGAAGCCTTATAGAACCCCTTTTTAACCTAAACTCCCCACCTGTAGTTTCCCTTACAGGAAGTCGCTGTATAGAGTAGGACTCCCGGTATTTTTGTTCTCCAATACCCGTTCGACTTCTTCGGTCCGACCTGCTCTTGCCTTGTGTGCCAGGGAAGAAGGCAAGACAGAGGGAGGTTTTTACTCACTTGGAGGGTCGGGGGATTTAGTAACTAGTTGTTTTATCGACTTATAAGTATCATAACCCCAATTAGGATCCCTTTTGAGGTACTTATAACTCTACTTAATATCTACTTACGCAGTCCCCTGACCCTCCAAGTGCAGTACCCTTAACCCCTAAACCCTAAACCCTATCCCTGAGAAAAACGCCCTAAACCCGATGCCTGAGACCTGACAGTTTCTCGCTTTGGGCGGGCTTCGGGGTTCATGGTGTTGGGCGCGTTGTTTGGGCGGATTTTGGGGGACTTGGGAATTCAGGGATTCAGGGCATCTGGCATTGGGAATTCGCACGTTTGGAGGATCGGGCTTGAGGGTTACTTAAGGGCTCAAGGGACCTACTGCTTATGGTAATAAAATCCTGCAGTACGCAAAATAAGCAATGGACCATAATTCCCATAGTTTAGGGTCCTGAAGGCAATGCAGGATTTACATCATCAACAGTGGTAGGTAGGGTTATAAGTCTCCTAAGTGGGGTTATGCTAATTATAGCCTACTAAAAGCCTACCTTACTAAGTCCCATGAGCTTTTAAGTAGTATAGGGGCCTTAGTAATTAGAATAAGGCCTTATACTATAAAGGACCCCAAAACCCTATTCGAATTATTAAGGCCCCTATTGTAGGCGTTATTATACTATAAGGGACCCCAAAACCCTATTCGAATTGTTAAGGCCCCTATTGTAGGCGTTAGGCGTTTTGGGTTTTTGTTCCAAGGCTTGCTTCCAAAGGCTCGGATTTATAGGGTTTCGGGTTGAGAGTTGAGGGTTTAGGGTTTAGGGTTTAGGGTAGACTCGGATTTATAGGGGCGAGAGAGATGAGCCAGAACCTGAAAAACCCAATGGGTAGTTCTCTAAATTAGGACCCCTTTTAGGTCCACAATATAGTACGGCACCCTTATAAAGAGGACCCTAAAAGGGACTCTAATTTTGAGAACTACCCAATAGAGTTGAGAGTTTAAGGGTTTAGGGGTTAGGGAGCTAGAAACCTTAACATCTCGATAGAGTTGAGAGTTTAAGGGTTTAAAGGTTAGGGAGCTAGAAACTTTAAAATCCCGATAGAGTTGAGAGTTTAAGGTGTTAGGGGTTTAGGGGGCCTCGAAAATTCTGTGAATCCCGCGCTCTTCGCCCGTCCCAGGCGAACCACACAGGGCGCGGGGCCTCGCTGACGGCTCCCAACGGTTTGCAGGAAGGCGTCCTGGCCTTGAGCCCTAATTGGAAGGTCTCGGACATTTTCAGGTGGGTAGCTATCGTTCTAGGAGCCTTATAGAAGGTCTATAACCTGTAGTTTCCTCTAAAATAAGTAGAGTTATAAGTACAGTTTAAAAGGGATCCTAATTGGTGTTATCATACTTGTAAGTCTATGAAAAACCGTTAATAAACCCTTAACTCCTTATTTCCCCAATACCCAACCTTAAATTTTTTGGGTTCTTATAATTTAGTACTAGTCTGAAAGTTTAACCTTTTATTTCCCTGGCTTAATGGGGAAAGGAACTTATGCAATGTCTGACACAGTCGCTCATAGTAGACTCCTTGCTTTGGCCATAGACCTTGCATATCGGGGGTCCAGACTTAGGGCTTTCGGGGTTTAGGGTTTAGGGTTTAGGGTTTAGGGATCAAAGTATACCCTTTTCGGAAGTGGGATCCTTACATGCCTCCAACGGCTTAAAGCCTAAGATGTAAGTACTTTAAGCCCTTGCATTACGGGATGGGCTGCCATCGATGTACCCTGAAGATGTGCGTAGTAGAGACGACTGTATTGATCTGGTTTCGACGTGCCTGCGGCCTGACAGATGCTTTCACGAAATACATGCCTTTGTCAGACCCGAGACCTGGTCCCGCAAGCCAGCAAAGAAAAAACCCTAGAACCAAAGCAGAACCGAGGCGAGCTGGTCCTTCAGGCCACACGGGCAGCGGCGATTACCCCATCTTCCGTGGATGCGATCGAGTGCTTCAGCCACGGGCTGCCCCTCCAGGAGAGAAATAGCACAGCGGCAAGGGGAGAACGCAAAGGAATCCATGAGTATCAGTATTTACCAAGCTCTACCTGGCATTATCATAGCGGTGGTGTTTGTTGGTGGTGGTATGGCCATGACTTCTGCGACCGCGGGCAACATTTCTTGCTCGTGGTGATGATTTCTTCACATCGGCAGGTATGACGATCATGACTGATAGTGGTGGCAGTGGCAGTGGCAGTGAACCCTAGAACCCTCAACCCCTTAAGCCCAAAAGCCCCTGAAGACATTCTCTAACAGAACCCTCAAACCCCATCCCTAAAGCCCAAAGTCCCTAAAACCCAAGACTCCTGAATCTCTGCGCCCTAGACCCTCAAAATAAAATCCGTATTATAGGAGCCTCAAATAATTACCTATACTTTTTTGGTGGCTCCTGATTGTAATTATGGTATAATATACCCCCAAACCCTATTCTAGCTATTAAGGCGGAAGAATTATGGTATAATATACCCCCAAAAAACTTATTCTAACTAAAGCCCCTTAGACTGTCGGAAGGATTATGGTATAATATACCCAAAAAAAACCTCTTCTAACTATTAAGGCCCCTACATAAGTAAGACCAAAACGCTCTTTTAACTATTAGGGCCCCCCTAGACTGTCGGAAGGATTATGGTATACTATACCCAAAAAAACCCTATTCTAACCCTAAACCCTAAACCCCAAACCCTAAACCCTAAACCCCAAACCCCAAACCCCAAACCCTAAACCCTAAACCCTAAACCCTATAAGGCCCCCCTGGACTGTCGGAAGGATGCTGTCGAGGCCCAGGTCTTGCGCCGAGCCCTTCGGGGCCACGCCGAGGTCGAGGCGGGCGATGTTTCAGGGGGGTTTGGGGTTTAGGGTTTAGGGGCTTAGGGGTTTAGGGTTTAGGGGTTTAGGGTTTAAGGTTTAAGGTTTTTAGGGTTTAGGGGTTTAGGGTTTAAGGTTTTTAGGGTTTAGGGGTTTAGGGTTTAGGGTTCCTTAGGGCGGGAAAACCCAGGGTTCCTTTTGAGGGTTCATGGCGGTCTCCTTGAAGGGCTAGGGTTTAGGGGGTTTAGGGTTTCAGGGTTCCTTAGGGGGAAAAACCCAGGGTTTAGGGTTTAGGCGTTCCTTTTTGGGGCTCCTTGAAGGGCCAGGGAGTTTTTTTCAGGGTTCCTCAGGGGAACATCAGGGTTCCTTTTGAAGGTTCCTTTGCCCAGAGAGCCCAATACGTACCCCTTAATTAAGGAATATACTTTAAATCACGATATGAAGCCCCTTATAATTTCAGGTATATGCCTGAATTGAGGGGTATGGGGCTCTCTGGGTGGCGGGCTCAAGGGCTAGGGTGTAGGGTGTTTAGGGTTTAAGGGATCAGGGGTTTGTTGAAGGGCTTCCTGCTTTTTTGGTGGTTCCTTCCAGGGTTTAGGGGTCTCTTTAAGAGTTCCTTTGAGGGTTCAAGGGTTTCTGGGGTTCCTTTAAGGGTTTCTATCGGAGTTCCTATGAGGGCTCCTGAAAGACTACCATTTAGACTTCCTCAAAGGTTTTCCCTGTAACGGTCTCTTTAAAACTTTCGGGGACAAGGGTCGCTTCAAGCGTATCTTTGAGGATGCTTGAGGAGTTTTAAGGATCTCTTTCCACGGTCTGATTAAGGGTTTAGGGTTTGAGCTTTAGGGTTTCAGAAGGGTTAGGTTGCTCTCTGTAGGGTTTAGGGTTTGGCTCTAGGGTTTAGGGATTGCATATCAACTCTACTTGCTGCTTTTGTGTGTAGCAATCGCTCGCATCGCATGGACTGCACGCGCTGATCTTCATGTAGGGGCCTTTGAGATTGAATTTGAGGAGTATCAATATGATACTTAAGGAATGATGTTAGTAATCATTGACAGAGCATTGAAGGGTTTAGGGTGTTCTTATGGGTTTCTGTACAGGGTCTCTCTAAATTCCTGTAAAGCGCTGAGGGGTTCTGATTCCGACTTGTTCGAGGTTCCGTTAAGGGTTCAGGGCTCAGGGTTGTGATTTCGGGTGACTAAAAGCCCTTGAAACCCTAATCCCCAAACACTAAACTCTGAACCCCAAACCCTAAACTAAAAAACCCTAAACCCTAGACTCTATGGCTTTTTCTTTAACGGTCTCAGGGTGTTTCTCGCATAAGGGTCTTTCATTGGGTTCGTTCTGTCGAGCCTGGGGGTTTGGGGAGCTGGGTTTTCATTTGGGTTTAGGGTTTAGGGTTTAGGGTTTTGGTTTCAGTTTGGTTCCTACGGTTGGTGATAAATCCGGCAGTACCCATAATGAGGAATATACCCTCCTCAAGCTACTGCAGGATTTTGGTTTCATTTGGGAGCTTCCGAGAAGTAGGGTACCTTAGTTTGGGGGTCCTTGTAATAAGGATCCTACTATGTAGGGTACTTGCTCTATGAGGGGCCCCTATTTTCGGAAAGCCCCACTGTGGTTCCGAGTGGTAGAGTAAGTAACCTTTTACCTTCTTGGTGTTCTATACTCCCTAACCCTAAACCCTAAACCGAATCCCAATGCACTGCCAAAGGTTATCCTTTAATTCCCCAGCGTTCTGAACAAGTAGGGGTTTGTTCAAGGGATTTAGGGTCCAATAATGGTTCTCGATGGGTTCGTTTAAAGGTTTCGTGATTTGAGCTTCAAGGTTGTGGGGATCAGGATTTGTGGTTTGGGACTAAGGTTTGGGGAGTACTGGTTAAGGGTTAGGATTTAAGGCAAAAACTTGTCCCACCTCTTGTGCTGGGGCCTTATAGATTCTAGACTAGGAACCCTAAACCCTAAACCC